GACAGGAGAGAGGAGAGAGGAGAGGAGAAGAGATAGGAGAGAGAAGAGAGGGGAGAGGAGAGAAAAGAGAGAGGAGGAGAAAGAGGAGAAAGGGATGACCTCGGACCTACGTCTCCTAAGTGGTTTCTTCCGTGGGGTGTCATTATCATTGCATGTTCGTGTCACGTGTCTGCATTCAGGTTCGTGGCTCCTATCTGGTTGCGTACTTTGGGTGTCGACAGGTACACTGGCTTTGATGTTCCCAAACCCAAAACTAGGACCCTAGTCTGGTGATAGCTATACATGGCACTAATTTTGGAGCTAGAGGTTATCAAATTCCTCTTAGCTACCTGCGTAGCATGGACCGTGTGAACGCGTTCTTGGAAGTTCAATGTATCTAATAACTATAGCTATGTCCGAATTATGATCATATAAAGATACTTGAGGGCTTCTCATTGCGGTAGAAGTACGATACGCGAAGCTCCATGTTTACCTCTAGACCCTGACTCGTACATCCTATATACTTAAATCATGTTATGATCCGTTGTAGCATCTATGCATCAGGAGATTGAGTCGCACTCATGGGCATCTCAGCCAGGGCCGCCAGATTCGCAGAGGAAGGGCAGGGAAATCAGGGTTTTGGGGATTTGGGGTTTGGGCTTTCAGGGTCTAGATCTAAGGTTTTGCGCAGAGCCTCTGGCAAGTGCAGGGCAAAGTCTTTGAAGCTTTGCTCAGGGTTCAGGGTTCAAGGCTTAGGAAACCTAGGCCCTTTACTCTGTCCTGTAAAGAGACTCAACAACTAGAGCTCGCCTACTTGCAACGTGTCGGTTTAGGGTTTAGGGTAGATTCTCGGGTAGATAGCCATCAGGCGTGTAAGCAGTCGGCCTAACACACACACACACGCACTAGCAAACAATCTTCCAAGGCTCCTTGTTATAGGAAACACAAAACTTGACCTCCAATTTGTGCAACCCCCCCACTTGATACCCTCTCCAACCAAACATTGAGCCTGACAAAGGGGCCCTTTGTAGACTCCCAGCTGCCCTTTAACAGGCGGCTACACCGGTTCATGTTAGTTTTGGGAAGGTGGCTGCGAAATTCTTGGTTGCTGTCTGTCGTGGTCGGGGCTGTGTTTGAACAGTGAGGTTCCCTCCTGCAGGTCCCTACATGCAAGTTTCTCCAGAAAAGGGATTATGCGGGTCATCATTCTTTATGGAATGAATTGCAAAACTCCCACCTCATAACTGGTCGTTTAAGAAAGATCTTCAGAACCCGCAATTCAGCCAATTTGCGTCAATTGCTCTGTACAAGACACGGATTTGGGCTGAGCTCGGGTGAAGTTGTCGTAATTTGCCAACAAACAAACAAGTTGCAAGGTAAGGCCAATCCTACCAGTGAGAGGAACGTAATGCTTGGATTCCTTGCCAGCCTAAACCCTAACTCACCCTAAATCAAAACACCAGAACGCGTGGGTGCACTCCTTTTTCTTAAAGCGACTTGTTGACTTGGAGCTAAACTTTGCAGCTAAGCCCTAAACATCCCTAAACCCTCAACCTGCCCAAAACCCCGACCGCCAAAGCAGCGAGCTAATCCGACCCTCGAAGTGCAGTCTTGCACTGGTCTTGGTCTTTATTTGGGGTTTAAAATTCTAGAGGTTTAGGATTTTGGGGTTTGGGGTTTAGGGGTTAAATTCGATGGTCTAGGGCTTCGGGTTTTAGGTAGTTCAGAAGCCCAGAACACGAGGCAGTCCAGCTTTACAACACACACAAATCGCTGCCCATGACTATCCTCAACAAAATGCTACTGTACTAGAGGTTTTGAGGAAGCATGTGGATAGTTAGCACTTGCGGCCATAAGGGACTTTACCCCCTAAGCCCTGAAGCCCCAAACCTAAACCCTATGTAACCCCTACATCCCACGCGTCACTGTGTGGCTAGTTTGAGAGGACGCGAAAGGCGATACCTTGGCGCGGCGGACTCATCCCGCAGAACGGAAGGGGCGGGGGGTTATGGTGGTATATAAGCATGATTGCGGCAGAAAATGGAAACTACCATAGTATAATAGGGTATATAATGGGGTTATACAGGTGTCTTAAATGTAGAAGCTGGAAGATTTATCAATATCAGTTGTAGGGATCATGCAGAGGTGTATAGGGTTTAGGGTCTAGCAAGAGAGTTATCAATATCAGCCCATTCAGTTGGATTACAGGGATCATACAGGGGTGTGTAGGGTTAAAGGTTCGGGGGTGAGGGTGTAGAAGCCGTTACCCCTGTACAACGAATGAAAGGAATCTGGGAGTCGTGAAAGCATGTCACATTTTCTGTGATCAGTATCATCCGCATTTCCTTTCTGCTATTTATTGTAGCTAATTCTCGAAATTCGTATGTTTCTTCTTCTTTTGCAGAGAACGCATTGACATGTGGCGGTTGAATCGCACCAGTTCATGTCAGGTCTATAAGTTGAGCATCATAGCGCACAAAGCCAACGAAGCGGTTCTAGCGGGGGAGAATTACAAACACTGCTTGTTTCCACAGTTTGCCATCATTGAGGTGCTCCCAAAATCAGGGATGCCCATTGAGGATCCCCATGATAAGGATTATAGTACTTTGAGGGTCTATACAGAGGAGCCCCATTCATGGAAACCACTATTCTCATTTATTCAAGGTACATGTGGTCTGGAATCTCGAGTTGGGGCTTGTTTGCATTGACAGTACACTCTAGGGTTTTGCATCGTGCAATCCCTCACAGACCCTATCACCTGTCACTTGCTATGAGGAGGGAATGAAGGATGCAAATGGTAACTACCGTATTTGGGGGTCATACAAAGGCTACTTAAGGAATCAATTCCTCCATTCCCTACCCTAGATCCTAAATCCGAATCTCTAAATAGTAGCTTCCAGTTTCTTTTTCACTCCTCCATTCCCTAACCTGTAAGATCATGCCTTCAGAGTGCAACCCTGCAACTGCTGCCTGAAGAATGATGTATACAACTTGCCAGCTGACGAAACTTAGTTGTTGTTTGTGAGAATGGAACCATAGGCATCCCTATCGAAGTGTCTATGTAATCTTCCATGTTCCTGTTCCATTCCTTCATTTCCTTCTAACAAGCAAGACAGATAGCAGATCCTGGTTCCACTGGGCGGCTCGCTAGCAGGACATGCATATGAGGGTTTAGGGGCTCTCTGCCCGTGCATGTCAAAACAGCTTAATTTTCAGGAAAGCTACAAACAAAGACCCTCTTCTTTGCTGTGTTTAATAAGTACTGAAAAAATCTGGGCAAGATGGAAAAGTTCCATTAACTGCAGAAATTGCAGGTCGGGTCGGGTCGCTATTTTCCCTAAATTCAGCAGTCGGGTCGGGTCGCCAAAAGGTCCCAGTTATACTTGACCGACAGCAGCTCCTTGGCAATCCCTATTAACACTCTTTGTAATCCACATTCGTATTCCCTACCCTAAACAGAAACCTGTAGCGGCGGCCATTTCCATAAGCCTTCCCGCGCATCCCTAAACCCTATACAACTTCGCAGCCTTCATTTGGCTTTTCCATTCCCGCATTCCCTACAGAGTACAATGCTGGCTACTAAGGAGTACTTATATCGTAAATTCTATGGTCATCGATCAGATGTATGCTTCTGGGAATATAAAAAAACTACGGGAAACTGCCCACCTGACATTTCCTCCGTCTAAGCCCTAGATACTGACCATGCCCTCAATACTAAACCCTCAACCCTGAATCCTAGTCCTAAAGTTCTTCTCCATGACCCATTACCTACAAAGCACCCGGAAGACTTGCTGCCTGGGAGCGTTGAACTATACTCCCTACAGTTAAGCAGAAATTACCCTAAACCCTAAAACCCTACTAAGTAGGTCTCAACACATAAAACTGTAGGTGATTGGGCTGCAGGTGAAGGCCCATATGAGCACTTCTTCCATTCCATGCTCCATTCCCTTTCCATTTGAGTCTCTGTTTTTTCATCTTAGTCTCGAATATTTGAAATTTTCGGCTGCTAAGCCCTAAGCCCTAGGCCCCTGAACCCTAAACCCTTGCGGTCTTGGAGCGTTGTTTCGTCCAGCCCCAGGCGGGCAAACGGTCAAACCATTCGGAGTCTTCCCGCGCGTAGTAGGTCATGTCCTGAAATCCCAAATACCTTCTAGGCTTTAGGGCTTTCGGGTCTAAATAACTTGAGGGTTTAAGCTTATGGAGATTTAAGGTTTTGGGCCTCTAAAGAATCAATATGGTAGTTTCCCGAAATAGGGGGACCCCAACACGGACCCAAAAGCTCAATACTCCTTAAGATAAGATAGGCGTCCGCACAAGGGTACACCCTAATTTTGGGAACCCCCCCCGTAGGGTTCAGGCTTTTGGTGTTTTAGGGCTTAAGGGTCCGTA